CAAATTGCTGTCCTATCATGTCCCTCTTCATTGGAGGAAACAAAAAGAAGTTGCAAGGAGTAAGGTCAGGTGAGTCAGGTGTGTGGGGTAAGAGGCATGCTTTTTTGCCAAAAATTGGCATGCTGAGCTGTCTGCGTGAGCAGGTGCATTGTCGTAGTGGCAATACCAGTCCCCCATCGGCCACAAATCAGGCCTTTTTTGTCACACACTGTTATATTACCTTTTCAGATGCTCTAATGGAAAGCTTGATTACCAGTCTGACCTGGTGGAATGAACTCAAAATGCACCATAAGTCCACATTTTCTTCATCAATCGACATTTCACCTTTTTTGAAATGAGAAAACCACTCGCACACTTGAGCTTTTCCCCATTGAACTGTCATTGTCAGCTATGTTCAACATCACAACTGCTTCTGCAGCATTTTTCCCATGCAGGAAACAGAATTTCACAGCTGCACCTCTTCTCTTAAATTGACCATCACAAAAAAATGAAGTTAGAGCGAAACTGCTTTTACGAAAAAATTCACTATGACCAGGGAGAACCTTCCCAAGTCACTCCGCTGGGTGCACTAATTCAGACCAAGTTGCTTGATCCCCACTTAGCAGGAAAGTACATACTATGAATACTCTGCCCAGTACAAGTCCGGTTTGGGGAGGGTGCCCCTTCGTATGTGCCTATACTCACCATGAGAAAACGGGACAATTTGCAACTGACAGCTTGTTTCTAACATATCCACACTCTAAGATAACATTAAAGTTAAAAAAAATTCAATTATACAGGCACTCTTTGAAAACCGTGCAAGTGCAAACACAGAAATAAAAATCCCCTAACTTTTCCAAGTACACAAACACCTATTAAACACATGCACATGCATAACATAGTAAAAAGCATGTCGAAAAACAGCAGAACATAATCAGTGGGATAATAATTACCGCAGAAATATAAACAACAATATGATTCTAACTTGATTCTGCCGTCAACTGGATTCAACCCTATGGTGACCCCATATTTTTCTCTTGTCTTTTGAGAGCAGTCACCAAGGCTTTTCCGTAGATGCTTCTGGGTGGATTTGAACCATTAACTTTATATTAATATGTGAGTTCACTTCTGCTCATTAGCTCACACTTACCATGTGCCAAACAATGCTAACAAGCTTACATTTATTTTCTAACGTAATCAAGCCTCACATCTGTACGTCCGTGGCCATATGGGGTGCCATAAGAAGTTAAAGAAGCAGTTTTCTCCTCATTCCCAATACTGAGGAAAACCTTACATGTGAGTAGGTAGAATGTTAAGGAGTGAAGGCCTTTTGCTTTAAGGGTCTGTGTCGTCAAGCACTCAGCTGTGACTCAAAGGGCACTAGTTCAAACCCACCAGCAACTATGTGGTAGAAAGATAGGACAACCTGTCTCTGTCAACACCACAGCCTTGGGAATCCGGTGGAATCCTGCAGGGTTGCCAGGAGGCAGAAATAACTCCAGGGCAGTGGGTTGGGGTTTGGATCTTAATATTCAAGGAGCCTGGTGATGCAGCTGTCAAGGGCTTGGTTGCTAACCTAAAGGTTGGAGGTTCAAACCTATTGCTTCCCAATGTGGGTAATACCACCCCTTGGAGGGGCACTGGATGGGCCAGGGGGCTGCCAAAGCAGATACCTACACTTTATCCTGGATGCCTAGCTGCAGCACTCAACTCTTCATTGCCGGAGGAACAGAGTAAGTCTTTCTCGGGAAAGGGAGCAGTAGGGTATAAGAGCTTGGGAGCCTATGTTCAAGCCCAACCACGGCCGCATAAAGATGACAGCCTGTGGGCAGTTTTAGTCTATCCTACAGCTTCAGGTCCACTCAATGACCGCGGATTTCTGGATGTTGTTTGTTCTTAATTTCCTGCTTCCACAAACACTACTCTGGGAAATCCTACGGGGTAGTTCTACTCTGTCCTATAGAGTCAATATGAGCCAGACAGCACATAATAACAATATATAAATATGCCCAAGTTTTAATGATTATGGCATGACCCCCCCCCAAAAAAAACCCTCACCACTATGAAGTCAATTCTGACTCACAGGGACCCTGTAGGACAGCGCAGAACTGTAAATCTTTACACAAGTAGAAAGCCTCGTCTTTCTCCTGGGGAGTGGCTGGTGGTTGCAAACTGCTCAACACGCACCCATGGTGAAGAGTGCTCTGGGTTTCATATCAGTTATTTTTCCTGTCACCTAATGCCATCACTACGAGAAGCCTCTGCCATTTGATTCCAGTAATGATGAGTCTCTGTTAAAGTCTATTCTTCAGAACAAAATAACAGTACCCGTTTTTGTAATCATACAAATACATGTATGGTGTGAGATATTACATTGAAACTTTTCTGCCTACAATCGAAGTACTCAGGACACTCAGGTCCTTGGTGGTACAAACAGTTCAGAGCCGAAATGCAGGCGGTCCTAGCCCACCCAGCAGCCTTGGATTTTCTACTTAGTTCATTTAGTTTAGTGTAAAATAAAAATTCCTGTTAGTATAATGACATTTGTAAGACTTCTGACCTCTATTTTCCCCTTCGTAATTAATGATCAAGGAGCCCGTGTGGCCTTGTGGGTTAGTCATTGGACAGGTAATCACAAGGTTGGCGGTTCAAATCTACCAGCAGCTTCGAGGGAGAACCATGAGCCTGTTTGTGCCAATACAGATTTACAGCCTCAGAAACCCTCTATAGACAGGGCCCTGTGTGCCAGAATTGACTCACCGATGGTGAATTGGGTCGGGCAGCTCATGATCACACCTGGAAATATTTGCAAACTGGCACCAAATGGAGGGTACCTGTAGTGAGTTGAGCACTGTCCCTTAAAAAGGATCAGGGTGACATCAGAGTAGATTATGGTGGGCTTGAAATTCAGTGTGTCCTTATCTTATCCTCCACCAGCAACTGTCAGGGCAACTCCAACACCAAAGGTGGCCTCTGTGTGTACAACTCCGTTGAGTTTTCAAT